TAAAAAAAACATGATTTTAGGAGAAAGCTGACATTGAAGTTAGGAAAAAATAATAAAAAATAATTCCAACCAATATGATCATTTGAGTAGGGACCACTTTTTACACTTTCCAAACAAACAATTAAAGTTACATTTGCAAACCAAACAATCAATTTATGATTCCAATGGAATAAAAAACAAACAAAGAAAAGTATAAAAATAAAATTGATGAGGTGGACAACAACTTTCCAAGTTGTGTCATAAATACACAAATTTACCAACAACAACCAAACAGCCCCTTAGAGGGTGTTTGTTTCAAATCCTATAATTTTAGGATATGGATTTTATTATGGGATTTAAAATCCATAGGTAATTTGTTATGGGTTGGGATTACTAAAACTTTGTTTGTTTTAACAATATTTTAGGATTTGGAATAGTATACTTTGTAATATTTTTGTTTGTTTCAAACTTTTTAGAATTTGAAATCCTTAATTTGTCTAACACTTTTAAAATCCACCACACATCCCACCCAAAAAAGAGGATTTCACAAATCCTTAAATATAATACTTTTTTATTATTTGGGGTTTTGATATTCTAAAATTTGTTTTGAAACAAACAAGTTTTATGAAATTCTAAAACCCAAAAAAACCCACTTTTTGATCCTAGAATTTGAAATCCCACCCAAATGTCAAATTTTTTTTGAAACAAACACCCCCTTAGAGAGTTTTTGGATGGGGGATTAGAGAAGAGCTGGGAAAGTTAAAATTTATATAACCTTTGTTTAGGAGCTTTTTTCTTCTTCTTCTTCTTCTTTTTAAGGAGGTTAAAGGATAGAAGGGAATGTAAAATTTAAGAAGATTTCCTACCTCTCAAATTGGGCTATAGAGGATGTAAAATGAACATTGTAAATTTTAACAGCATAGTGAGATAATTTTATCTCTGTCATTTACTACTTGATAAATTACTATAATAACATGTAAGGATATTTATATAACTTTACATATATCCACTTCACTTTAGGAAAACTCCCAAATAAGATAAATTAAGTTTATTTTCATTCCCCTTGATAAACTCACAAACAACATTTTATCTTTTTATTCTTTTTCTCTACTTTTCCTTTCCATTATTTAACTTTCCTTTCCTTCTCATAGTAAACTCCCAAACAAAGCATTAATTTGCACATAATTGGTAATGAAGCTTTGGTTATTTATATATTGGATATATTTTGGTAAATGAAGCTTTGGTTATTTATATATTGGATATATTTTTAATGTCATTTTAGTCGCCTTCATTTTCAAAGTGATCCTTACTTAAATTTTTTTCTCAATTTAGTCCTTATACCTCATTCCAATTACAATCTGGTCTTCTTTTAATATCTGTTAAAAATTAAGTGTTAAATTTTTTATCTATGATAACATTACCCTCAATTCAATCTACTGCCAGAAAAAACCTTACTTTGTAATTTGTATGTTTCTCTTAAAACTCCCTCTTTTTAATTTGTACCTAATCTTTTACTTTTTACAGCTGTTCTACGTTGTTAACGAAATTATGAAAATGATGTTTGTACCTACTAAACAATTAATGACTCGACATATTGGAGAATCTAGACAATAATTTAGCTCACAAAATGCAATGAAAAAGCAGATACAAAATAGGTTTCTTATCTTCCACATCATTTTCCTCTTTTTTTATATTATTTATTAATCAATTAATCACTTAGTCAACTCATAACCATAAGGGTAAATTTTTCAAAACCCCTATTGCCCATAACTTCCTGAACTTCTTGTATTCCACTTAACTCTAGGGAGATTTTTTTTTTTTTTTACTTTAACCCCCAAAGTCTAACGTTATCATGTGTCAAGCAAGTGACCGAAAAAATAAGAAAATACTCCTCAGTCCTAAAAAATCATCATTTTATTTTATTTTTACATTAATTTTCTATGACGGGGGTTTGGGGGTGTTTTCAACTTTTTCGTAAAGCATGTTACATTACAGGTTTGATAGTAGTTACTTACACGAATAATATCTTCGACGGTTTTAGTGGAATAGAAGAAATTTAGGTGATTTGTGTGAAAAAACCCCTCAAAGAATGTTTATATAAACAGATCATTCTGTTATTGTTTCTTTTCTTTCTGGCAACATATCCATATTTGTTCTTAGATCATTTTATTGTACAATACAATAGTTTTAGCATTGAATTGCTATTTTGTTTTGCTATGAGGACAATCCAGCTCATTTAATTAAATTTTTTTCCCTTTCTTTTAATTTCTATTGGATCCATTGTGGTTCTCATCACAAGATGAACTCAGGTCTCAAATATTTCATGTCATCATCGGATCAGTTATCAGCTCATTTAATTACTTATCTTTCTCATGTTGCTTTGAGTGTTTATTACTAATAACCGCAGACATGGTATTACAAATTGGAAAAAAACAAAGTTTTAGCAACGATTGAATTTAAATGGACTCAAAAGTGGAGTTGTAAATCAAAAATATGGGGGACCTCTACTCTGAAGTGATTGAGGATAATATTATCATAAACAAAAGATTAGCACATACTTTTTAACGGATGCTAAAAAGGAACTTAGTTTGTAACTAAGGTAGTGTTCAGGGACATAAATTGAGAAGGAAAAAAAAACAGAAGAAAGTATTTGGACCAAGTTGAGAATGAAGCCTTGGTATAGGGACTAAATTGGCTTTTTAGCATAAATTGCATTTCTTATATCTCCTTTCGTTTTTTAAGAAAAAGTCGGAAGCTAACTAATTTTAAAATAACTTAAGAATTGAATGAACCAGTATCAATTTCAATGATTGAAGACAATAATTTCATAATATGAAGGATTTAAGGCATTAATATCAGGAAAATCCTAGATTTTCCTAGATTTTAATCTAAGGGAATGAATAGGAAGAATTATATAGGAAACTAAAATTTTGACTCTGGTTAAAATTAAAATACAGTAAATTAGAAATGAATCCATTTTATAATCACCTACCCGCCAAATTATCTAGCCCCGTGTTAGGATTTCTTAACATGAAACACTTACCTAGATTCAAGCAGAAAATCAAGCACTCAAGTTTCACTATCAATTTCAATATGGATCCAACCCATGCAGGTTACTTTTTCTAGGTATTCAGACACCGGTCTTCAATTATCTTTTTATATCTTGGAGAAAACATAGCATCATATTTACTTATATATGAAAATTTAGAAGTTTGTAGCTTGGTTAATGGGGAAAAATTCTGAAAATAGACCACATTTGCTAAATATTTAGCAAAATCGACCGTTTTGCTAAATATTTAGCAAAATCGACCTCTTTTTAGCCTGTTGGCCAAAAAGATGTCGATTTTCAAAAACTTGGCCTAAAAACATATGGGACTACTAGTCCCGTATGTTTTCAATACACTAATTAGAGATTAGAAAACATACGGGACTAGTAGTCCCGTATGTTTTCTGTGAGCTTCTCGTGGCTCACCAAAATGTACGGGACTACTAGTCCCGTACATTTTGCAGAGACAATTTTGCCTCAGCAATCAAATATACGGGACTAATAGTCCCGTATATTTTGCAGAGCAATTTTCCTCTGCCCAGCAAAAATACGGGACTAATACGGGACTACTAGTCCCGTATTTTTGCTGGGCAGAGGCAAAACATGCACAAAACATGCATGACCCTCTAGCTGAGCATACAACCCTCTAAAAAATACACATTATCATAACACAATACATTATCACAAAACAATACACCATCACAACATCACATCCAAAATTCAACCAAAATTCACATCAGCACAAAATAATTCCAACTGCATTAAGTCTAACCATACGATAATATGTAGCTTAAGTAGAATAAATCCAAATGCATCAATAAATCCATACGACAATAATCTACATGGAAAAACTAACAAAGGAAAAATCCACCCCTCCCCCGTTGTCTCGGCCTTCGCACCCGCTGAGATCGGCGGCGGCCCCCTTCGTCTTGAGCTTGTATATGCTCGCTCTCCGGTTGTGTGTGGGGGCTGTGACGGACTAGCTCGTTGTGACGGACCAGCTTGTTGTGACGGGCCAGCTTCATCGTCATGCGTGCAAGATCTATCACGTCTACGGTGGCGCACATATGTAGTATCTTCAAGATCCACCTGCTCACGACCTTCATGTCGATCCTCATGAGTTTGTTGAAAAGCTCTACGAACTCTCGTCACTATCCGCTATAATATCGATACGTCCACAGAATCTCCAATGGCGGTAGTTATACCCTCATTTGCAATCCCCACTACATCGTCCAATGCGTCTATCTACAATTACATAAAAATATTGCTTCATATAAGAAACCAAAAGCTAACATAAAGATTGAAAAATCTATTATAATCTAAAGCAATTTACTTACCCATCGCCTCTCATCTAACCCTCTTGGTACATATCGAGATTGTTGGTTGCGAATCTCGATTTCGTCGACTGGAGGCGCAGTTTGGGTGATTATCCAACGTCGGGTAACCCCCCAATACCATCTTATGTAATCGACTTCCTGCATCGGAGGATAAAGCGGATCGACAATAAGTTGATGCCGATCATTCCACCGAGCTATGTATGATTGATGCGTGCGCTGCCAGTTAATCTGATGTCCACCTTTAGCCGCATTTCTCTCTATTTTTTCGACCAATTGTGGAGCGTGTTGTGTGAGTCCAAACTGTCTAAACACGCGATCGGGTATGTGCATCTCCACAATTTCGAAACAAATGAGATCTTTTACCGTGAAAAGGACATCAAAATCCATGCCTCACACGCATGGGGGACTTTATCTCGATCCCTAATTAGAGATAAGCCTACGCCTAACACGCGTTGTCGATTAGTCTTTTCCCTTCAAAATGACAAAGTCTATGTATTCAAAATCATAGCATCAAGATTAAGAGAGTTCATTCTCTTAGCACAACGTTACATGTGGAACGGACTTAGACAATCCACATGCTAGCCCGTGTTGTTTGAAATATATCGATAGCTTTAAACGATTGCAATTCAAATTCATACCTAAAAAATTTTCATTCGATCGAGCTCCCCCATGTAAAAGTCTAACTGTCTAGCCGGGACCTCATTATAGGCTTTAGTGACATTCCATCTGTAAATTTTATATACGATAGATTTTTGTTCAAAAGTTTAAATGAAAAATAAAATATCAAACGATATTAAATTCGAGGAATTTTACCTGCAGCCTAGTGGAATCTGTCCATCCAACTCTCGGATCTCGCATAATCGCGGTTTCAAAACCAGTCTCTCCCATGCCCAAACTTGTAACAATGTCAAACAGCCTTTGAGCTCTTTATTTTGCATTAAAGCAACCTTTGACATTTCTCGATATAGATATGCTAAAACAGCACTACCCCAGGATAATGTCCCACACACGTCAAAGTCTTCGAGAAGTGGTAACCACCTATTGAAAAATGTGGAAGTTAGTCAGATTTTCTAAAAATAGTGAGAAAAAATATCTTCTTATCAAAGTATAAAAGTAATAACAATTTATGACCCGTCTTACCTCAAATGCACTTTATGTTTACTTGAATCGGGAAAAAGAAGCGTCCCGATCATGTGCAAAATATATGCTCTAGCATGTTGTTGGATCATGACTTCTGATGCATCGTGTGGCAATGGGTTAGCAAAATTCTCTTTTAGCCATTTCAATCTAATATACCCTCCAGGCAAGGACTCCAGTGATAGTCCTAACAAATTATCACATACATTCCGCCAAACATGCCTATCTGTCCCTGTGACACAAGGACCATCAATGCGGAGTCCTAGGATCACTGCTACATCTTGAAGAGTAATAGTCGTCTCCCCAACACGTAGATGAAAAGTGTTAGTCTCGGGCCTCCATCTATCCATTAACGCATTAAGCAGTGCCCAGTCGACTTTCATCCATCGCAATTGTGAGCAAATCAGAAAACCGGCTTGTGACACAAGGGCAATGATGCGAGGATCATCAAGCGGCCAACGCATATGCCCAAGGCTATGATCAATCATAACCAGCTCTTGCCCTCTCTGCACAAAAATAAAAACAAATATTAGAATATCACAATAATAAATCATGTGAGTCTAAACTAAATCAATCAAAACATAGAGCCATAGTACCTCTGTAAATGATATACTCTCTGAACGATGGTGTGGCTGATCATAGAGGACTTCATCAGAAACCGACCCGGGGAGCATCGCGTATATACCTAAACGATGTCAAGATTACCTTATTAGTTTCTACCAAATGTATAAGGCCACAAAAATAAAATTAACAATGTAAATAGAAAATATATTACCAATTAATTGCTATAAACTTGTTCTTGATGGACAACGAGACCTATTATGCCCTAATTGACTACATGTTCCACATCTGATTCGTGATGCTCCTCCTTCCCGGCCTTGATCCATAGTACCTCTGATGCGTACAGATCGAGGTCTTCCCGCTTGTCTTTTGACTTGAGGTGGTAATAAATATTCTGTATAAGCGGCATGCCAATAACGAGTATCATCGGGAGGATGAAAACTCTCTTTGTAAGCCTTCCGATAATGATTTGTTGAATACCAAGCTGAGCAATACCGATCATACGGCAATCTAGCGCCACCATCCTGACTGGAACTAGCTGCTAAAACATGTTCACATGGTAGTTTTTGTAATTGTGGTAGGCTACAAGTACAACTACACTCTTGGTCATAGAGATGAACGGTGTAAGTGCCATCACGATCCTTGACCTCCCATTCATTGTCGTTGAATGGTTCAATTCTACATGTTCTTACAGCCACAACCCTTTTCTGCAACATTAACTCGTTTTTTGGAGTGTACTTACTCGTCCAATTTGCACCATCACTCCATCTCTTTTGGAAGTATGCATTCAATCTATAAAATGTCCTTGTAACTAAGGCACTAATTAGCATAGCACAGGCACCCTTAAGTACACCATTAAAACTTTCAGAACAATTAGTCGTCATCATACAATAACGCACCCCACCATCTTTACATAATGCCCATCGATCTTCGTTTTGCGGTTTCAAGTTGTGTTCAATCCAATTGTGTGCTTCAACTGATAGGGCTTTAATTTTCTCTCTACAATGCTCATATACAAGTGAGTCAGTGGCACACCCGGCTTGCCATAATAAATTTTATAAATTGACCTCTTCATGTTTTCTCTTAAAATTAGCTCTTATATGCCGCAAGCAGTAACGGTGATGATGTGGTGCACTCCACCCCTCATGCAAGGCTCGTGGAATTCCTTTCATTCGATCAGAAATAAAGGTAATAACTCTTGGACTTTGAACAGTCGGAATGTATTTGTAAATACACTGAAAAAACCACTTCCAACTCGATGTATCCTCCACCTCCACGACTGCGAAAGCTATTGGAAATAGTCCACCGTTTGCATCTACACCGGTCGCAACCAAGAGCACTCCTTTGTATTTGCCATATAAATGTGTTCCATTGATGCTTAAGAGTGGACGACAAAACGAGAACCCTTTGATAGCGGGCCCAAATGCCCAAAATACCCGTACGAACCTCTCCACTACGGCGAGACCTGCTTAGACACTATCTCATGTTCGGAACCCGAATTATTCCTGTTAATTGCTGCAAGATAATATGGAAGTTTTTGATAAGATTCTTCCCATCTCCAAATATTTTAGTCAACGCCTTCCTTCGTGCATCATATGCTTTAGACTTGGATATAGTTATGCCTTTCATAGCACAAACCGTTGTTATTATCTGTCCTGGCGTAAGATCAAGTTCCCGCCTAACTTCGGGCATAATTAGCTTCATTATATAAGCGGAAGTCGCTGCCATATGATCATTAGCGACAGTCGGATTGCAACATGTATGAAGTCCGTAATAATTTGAGATCACAAATTGTCCGTTGGATTTTTTCCTAACAGCTGCATTAAGCTTCCATGGGCATTTTAAATTTCTATCGTCTGCAGCACTTGTATAAGCGGCTTGACATTTCTCATTGAAGTAACACTTTACATGGTAGCTAGTTGAGTTGGATTTCACCGGCTTGAATTTGACCCGGTTCCTAATTGCCCATTCACGTATAGTGAAAATTAAGCTTTCCTTATTCTCAAATAGATCTCCTTTTTTGAAAGTGATATCCTCAGGTCGATCGAAATTAGGACCAGGCTCAACCAACTCAGCTTGTGAGTTATTTATCCACTCATCATTTTCAAACTCTTCGGGTAACGGTTCTTCAGACTCTACATAATCGTTGTTCACGCAATATGCATTCATCCAACTTGCATCATCATTGTTCTCTCCAGTTGCGAACTGCATACTATCAAGACGTTCCTCCTCAGACTCAACATCTTCACTATCATCATCAGCATCTACATATTTGTCATCTTCTTTTATAAAACCACCAACCGGTAAATCAATTGAAATATCATCATACACGTTGTGAAACATGTAACTTGACGTTGCACCTGCGTCATTTTTTAAGTGCAAGGCACTTTGAGATAATGAGACTTGACTTTCAAGCATGCGAGAGAACTCTCCGTGAGCATACGAAACTTCGACAACCCCAGACTTTGGAATATTTTCAATGAACAACTCAATTGCGATTTGTTTATCCGTAAGTTGTATCATGTAATTCAATTCTTCATCAGTGGTGATCTCTACCGTAATTGTTCTTTTTTCATTTATTGGACAATTACAAAATTCATCAGTGGTGATCTCTACCGTAATTGTTCTTTTTTCATTTATTGGACAATTACAAAAGACCTTAATGGCATTTTCTGCATGATTAATTCTGGTAACTCTGTATATTTGCTCCATCATTCCATCGAAATTATAATTTCTAGACAACATGAACATTTTCCTAGAGCCTCCATCATATATAGGCAAATTATTCATTCCAACACTCAATTTCCCATTGAATAAGCAAATAATCGGAATTCCATTCGCCATTTTAACTGAAGAATTAAAATTTGACGTATACAAATTAGATATTTTACAAATTGATGATCATAATTCATTATTTCCTCTAGATATACCTCTAAATATACATATTAACTAAACGAAATTGGAGAAATTTATGAAAAAAAAATTAAAATTGTTATCTTGTCGAAATCGGATTTCGTTGGCGTCGGAGATCAAGCTCGGCGTCAGATTTGAGGGAGGAGGGGGTGAGTTGGCTTTGTGAGAGAGAGATTGGGTTTGGGAGAGATGAAGATTGGTTTGGGAGAGATGGAGATTGGGTTTGTGTGTGAAATTAGGGTTTGGGAGAGATGGAGATTGGGTTTGGGTGTGAAATTAGGGTTTGGGAGAGATTTTAATGGGTTTGGGAGGGATTGAGATGAGTTTGGGAGTGAGGGTGAAGAGATTGAGATGGGTTTGGGAGTGAATGTGGAGAGAGAAGGTGGAGAGAGATTGAGATTGTAAGGGGAATAGCGGAATTTAGGGCAGAGGGTATATATATGTCGACATTTATACGGGACTAGTAGTCCCGTATAAATGGTTCTCGTGGCTCTGCAAAATGTACGGGACTAGTAGTCCGGTACATTTTGGTGAGCCACGAGAAGCTCACAGAAAACATACGGGACTACTAGTCCCGTATGTTTTCTAATCTCTAATTAGTGTATTGAAAACATACGAGACTAGTAGTCCCGTATGTTTTCAGGCCAAGTTTTTGAAAATCGATCTCTTTTTGGCCAACAGGCCAAAAAGAGGTCAATTTTGCTAAATATTTAGCAAAACGGTCGATTTTGCTAAATATTTAGCAAATGTGATCTATTTTCAGAATTTTTCCTGATGGTTATACAAATAAAATGCAACATTTTTGCTCCGAAGTGTACCATATAAAACTTGAGAAAAAAAAAAAAGGATCTGTATGCAAAATGTTCTCATTCCCCTACAAACAACCTCCCTCGCAATGCAGTCGCATTCTGGTGCCCATAACGGCGCGGCGCGTGAGAGTCTTGAGAGAGATATAAAGTTGAGGAGGGAGCATCCTATCCACGTGTCATCTTTTGACCCTTTGACTTTCGCCGGTCACCATCTCCCACACTTACCGCCTACTACCGGTCATCCTCGTCCACTTCTCTTCTCTTCTCTGACCTTCGCCCTTCAAATCCTTCCAACCTTCAAACAACCTGCATTCATGCAAAAGAAAACTTCCTACATTAGTCCCTTAATCGTTTAATATTTTGAAACTAGTCCTTAAAATAAGTAAACTTTTATAAGGCCTGTCAATTATTATAAACTACTCCAAAACGAGTCCCTCAGGTAATTGTAATTTTGTCTGTCTATCCCCTGATAGGAATTTCAATTATTTTGGGGACCACGTTTAAAACATTAAAGATTTAAAGGACTAATATCTGAGAAGCACCAAACTTAAAATTTATTAAAATTTAAGA